TAACAACAAGCCCCTTTTCCCTTCTCTCCTGCCCTTAGATATGGCCGCGGAGTCGCCTACACCACGGCTCGAGTTTTTTTTTTTTGACTGACGTTGGCACAGCTCCGCGGTCAAATCTGGGGCGGGGCCAACCTGTATCCCTGGCAATTCACGTTGCCAGCGGACTGATGTGGACAATTGGTTGGGCATACGTTGGCCCGACCCGTCCGACCCACCAGCCGGGCCAACATTGCCGACATTCCATGTCGGCGGAGTTGGTGTAGTTCCCAGGTTGGACATGGCAGCAATCACTTACTTGGCCAACGACAAATGGCTCTCATCATCCGGCCAACGGCGGCGATAGGTCAAGCCCTCGTTGGCACGAAAAAACTCCCGCACTGTCTGGAACCCGCCCTTTGTTTGACTGAAGATATCATCATCCCACCCGACTTGCGACCAACCTGCCTGAAGAAAAACAAATCAATGGCATCAACTCATCCAACCACCCATGACACCAAGCCAACCAGCCCCAAGCCCGAGCCGATAAGCCCCAAGCTTGAGCCGATCACCCTCAAATTTGAGCCGGTAAGCCCCACACCCGAGCCGATGGACCACCCATTATCATCCGGGCAGAGCAGGCCACTTCAGCCACCCATCCCTGCTCCAACTGTGGAGACGGCTAAGCGGGCAGTGAAGAAGTCACCTGTGAGCTTTCTCTACTCCATAATTAATCTTAAACTCATCGGAGCTAACATTTCACCTGTACATTCCACCTGTTGCTAGACTAAAAGTTCTCCCAGTCAAGACTTGAGACGTAGTCGTCAAATTTTTGACCAGGTGCACGGCCAAGGAAGTATGTCCCTTAAGAACCTCAAGGAACACGCACACATCAAGGGTGGACGACCAAAATAATGTTGTCATTCAGCTTAGTAAGTATCTCCATCGCAACAACATCCTGACCGATTGATGAAGAAAAAAACAATAAATCGTATTGGAGTTTAAACTCATTCAAATCACTTTACATACTATTTGATTTACATCAGATCCGGATCAATCCTCGACGTCGATGGCACTAGTGCCTGTTTCCGTATTTTGATCGTTTTTTTATCTGCAACCTGCTTCCACCTTTTCATCCCATTGTGCATAGTATTCACCCACTCTAGCGGTTGTATTGAGACCATAGCAACTTCCGAGAACTTCCTGTGAAGAGCCAATGACGAAAGCGATGCAGAATTGATAATGTAGTGTTGATTGTTGTTGTGGTAACCTCTACAATCTTCCAAGACCCCTTCCGTCTCTCCACGTTTTCCGTCCCGGTCTCTGTGAGTTGACAATCACTACGGTGACAATTGTGCTGAGCATTCCAGTCTAGTCTTAATGGCCTGAATGCCATGAATCAGTTCCACACTCTGTAATGGATGACTTGAATCTGAATCCTTACCGATAATCTGACAAGTACTGTCTTAGGTGTCCTTTGGATTTCCCCGCATGTTATAATAAGAATTTTGTTCCATTTTTTGAAACACAGTAGTGTAAACAAAAAACCTGTTTTGATTGGAGGCTTCCTTAATCGTCCAGATAGAATTGATGCGTCCAACATGATCACAAGGCTCTGATATTTCTGTCTGCGTAGAATTAAACTGTTAAGATTCAACAAAGAAGATCAATGAAGTCAGAAATGATGGAATTTAGCCAAGGAAACAGAGGATGACAAGGCTTCAGGAAATACCAGAATGAAGTAGTCTTTTTTGAGGACTTGCTTCTTGTTGAGGTTCAGTTCAGAGATTTGCTTGATTTCAAAGTCAGGATATAGACTCTTCAATTCTTGAGGAGTTTCTACTTGATGAATTGCTGGTACCGAGAGCTTCTTGATACAAGGATAACTTTTATTTGGAAGGGATGCTGATTGATTATAGCCCAAAGTCTGCTGTATTAAGGGATTCTGTGAAAAGATATTTGTGACTTGATTGGAAGATTGAAGATATTTTTTTTGTTTTTTATCAAAAAAGAAACCACCAGAGATAATTTGACGGAAAGAGTGATAATTACTGAATGTGATAGCTATATCTTGACCAGGACTTTGACGGTTGGAGTGAATTGAAGCATTTCTAAGGATACCATTATAGCTTTCAAACTTTTCAGTGGCAAAAAGACAAGCTGGACCAAAACGGAGGATAGATTCAGGAAGATGAAGTAACATATGGAATTTGGCTTTATTGATCCATTGGGCAGAGTCTTCAATTATATTTCTTAAGAATATATCAATAGCATTCCTCAACTCAGAAATATATTCTGTCATATCTTCAATATGAGTTTGGAAGATCAAGGAGCCCAAATGACAGAGAGAAGACCAGATTTTGATCTTGGATTCAGTCATGAACTGGAAGAAGATGAAAGGGGCTGCTTGAAGAATGATTAGGAAGTCTTTACCAATCAAACTTGATGCATATTGTACCATGCTTTTGGGTCTAACAGAAGGAATGTTGAGAGAATTTGTGTTGAAAGAATTCCATAAAGCCAAGAGGTCGTCTTTTTGAAGTTCGTTCAATCCTTTCATGAAATCTCTGAATAGATACTTTACTGCACCAAGCAAAAAAACATGCAAGATTTCAACTGGAGTGTCCTCAACCATGTCAAAACCTAAAAAAACAAAACAAAAAAAGTCAAAAAAAAAATTGAATGAAAAAATGAAAACCCAAATTAGCAAGCAAAATAAAAACCTTTCAGCTCCAAAAAAGAATTAAACATCCTTTTTGGTTCCTTTTCTTCCATATCCACTAATTCCTGTGGAATTTCTTGATCCATATGAGTTGGTAATTCTTCTCCATTTTCCAATAGTTCCAGTTTTTTTGCATCAAATTTGAATAACTGTTTGGAAAACTTTCTGTTGATTTGATCTCGAACACCAAACTCGGCAGATTTCTTGTCTAATTTATCCAGATTAACTGTTTCCTTGACATGCGTCATAGCTTTTAGATTTTT